ATACTCAAACCCCTGTAAACTCATGCTTAGCAGCCTACTAATTTGTTTGATATTATGTAAGACCTATTTCGACGCCACAACATGTCCAGCTTCCTCAACATATTTCACACTCATTCCACAAAATGACAACATCTTTGTTGCCTCATTAGCCAAAATCTCTCCAACCAACTTTCCTCAGTTTCCAAAGAATTTGAGCCATCTGGTCAGAAAAAGTCTCTTAGATTCTTGGACACATATTGCATCTAGTTTCTACAAAGAGAAGCAATCTTCAACAATGCCTGTTTATAAATTCATCCAATCCTCTCACATCTAGAATAAGTTTAGTCAACATTTTTTTTTTTTTATAAAAGAAGAAGATATTATTAAGATGAGAAGGAAAAGTACAGCCATGGAGGAACAGAAATCCTTGCTAGGGAAACAGAAATATAAAACCCCCGTTAGAAAAACAAATGTGAAAGATGGCAAAACAGACAATTGAAAGGCTACAGCCGTGTATAAATATATTCCAGTGTCGATGAAGATCGATGATGCAAATATATGAAAAGAACCCACCACTTCGGCCCATAGGAGCGCCAAAAAGGTCACCCTCTCCCACAGTTTGAAATATGAAGAGATCCTGTTGTTAAAAATCTTCCAGTTGTGCACCAATAGGATGCACCAGAGACCAACAAATAATGCTGCCACAACAGTTTGGCAGCCTTCCAATTCCTTTCCCCTTTAATAAATGTGCACAGGAAGTTATTCACTGATGAGGGAGGATTTTGGTAATTTAATAGATATTGTGATTGATTTGTTAAATGGGTTTTTGTACATAGGTTTGCACACTTGGTGCTTATAGTTAATTGTATTTTATATTTTTTATTTTTTAAAAAAAGTTCTTCACTGAGAAGGTAAAGCCCAAAAATATCCAAACATCTTAAGCACATCAGTCCACAACCTTGAAGCCACCTCACAATGAAGGCACAAATGCACAAGCATTTCACCCTCTTGGAAGCACAAAACGCAAACAACAGAAGGAAGAACACAATTAGGACAACGTAATTGGAGCAAATCGTTTGTGTTAATCTCTTGATGAGTCATCGTCCATGCAGAAAGCCTCACTTCAGTAGGAACAGGAACTTTCTAGACTCCCTTAGCAACAAGCATAACTAGGTTAGTGGAGTCATTTGTAAGGTATTCAAATAAAGATTTGCACGTAAAACTGTCAAATGTGTTCAAGGTCCATAATCATCAATCAGGCTGGAGAGAAATGGTAATGGGTGCCAAGGTTTCCATCATAGTAAAACGATAAACGTCCCACCCTTGATTCTTGACCCCAATCTAGCAATACTTCATAACTAATGGATGAATGTAGTCTCCTATAACTCTCTCTCTATCCACTCTGTATTTGTTCTTTCTTACAAATTCATAACCCTTATTATTGTTCTCCTACCTTCTATAGCACGGAACAACTCAGGAGCTTGGTACTCAAACCCTTAAAACTCATGCCCAACAGTAATTCAAGACCTATTTCGACGCCACAACATGTCCAGCTTTTTTTTAATAAAAAAGAAAATATTCTTTAGAAAGGAAAAAAGCACTACAAAAGAACAGCGGATAAGATATCCAACTGAAAGAAAAGAAAATCGAAACAAAAAGGACAAGAAAAAAGGAGGACTGAACAAATCATGTGACTATAACATCCCAGCTCCTATGAAGGCCAGTGAGGGAGATTATCAGAGTATTTGCCATGAGCCTTGGCCCAAAAGGGAAGCCAGAAATGCCATCTTCTCTCATATGAGGTTATCCTGCCAAGAACGCTCCTTGAAAATCTGCCAATTTCTTTCTATCCAAATTGTCCAAAGACCAGCAAACAACACACCCTGCCACAATGGTTCAGCCTTCACCTTAACTCCAAAACCACCAAAATTTGTGTTAATGAAACACTCCATGTAGGAGGAGTAACCCATGCCAAGTTAAAAGTGTCAAAAAGACTGACCCATAATTTCTGTCCCACTTCACAATGTATGAAGGAGATGTTAATGAGTTTCCCCGTCCTTATGGCATATAATACACATGCCAGGAGATAGAGCTCAGTTACGTCAATAAATTTGTAGAAACTCATTGGTGTTCAGCCGATTCAATATTCTAATCTATACGAAAACCTTCACCTTCAAAGGAGACTTGACTTGCTAGCATGTCTTGGTAAAGGAACCTTAATAACAATTGGTGTTTTTTATTATACAATGAAAAATGATTTATAGGTGCATGTCTTGGTAAAGGAGCCTTAATAACAATTGGTGTTCTTTATTATTCAATGAAAAGTGATTTATAGGTATTCATATAAAATGGGTCAAGGGTCCACATCCTGCAATCACGCTGCTGGGAAGGTCGAAATGGTTGTAGCAAGCTTAACATGGTAAGAAGTTCAAAGATTTCTCTATCACCAAA